AACCTGTCAAGACGACCGTACGCAAATTCGCCACCACCGTCTGAGTGTAGACGGAGCACAGGACGGCCCTGCTGGGGATTGACTGTGAGCAAACATGGCTCGAGGATTTCAAGTACGTCAGCCTTCCTTCGCAAGGGAAGCACCGTGGGATAACGGGAGAAGTCATCCACCACTATCAGGAATTTGCACTCTTGACGTGGCCCTTGGACTGGGGAGGGGCCCCAAACGTCCATATGCAGAGTTTGCAGTGGAGCAATGGTGGGGGGAAATGAGGAGGAACGAGAGGCGGCGCGCTTCTGACCCTCGACGTAGGGGGTACACGGCAGCGCAGGCGAGTGGGGAAGCGGGGCGAGGGACTGCTGGAGACCTGAGACCAGACAGTGGCGGACCATCCGACTGAGGCGCATAAAGGACGGGTGACCAAGACGGTGGTGCTAGAAGACCGACGGGTGGGTGAGTGACCGACAGTCGCACGACTAGCAGCTGCCTGACCTCCACCTGACGAAACTCAGCACGTAGAGAGTAAATACCTAATACAGGCTCCGTGAGAAACGTGCACAGAAGTGCCCTAGTGGCACTGTCGGTGCGGGTTGCAAAACGCTTGTGCGGAAGAGAATAGGTGTTGAAATCGAGGTCCTGAAGGTGGCTGACGCCCACCAAATTCCTAGAGAACGAGGGTGTGCGCAGACTTGTGACCCAGAGAGCACCGCCGGACACGGGAGGGTAGTAGAACTGCGAGCAACTGCTGCTCCTACGGTGGGGTCCACCAATGCGATAGAGACAAGAACACGTAGTGGCATGAGGTCAGTACGGTCACGAAATATACAGCAAGACGCTCCAGAGTCAAGTGTGAAGGTCAGCCACAGTAGCGAAGGTCTTACCTGTATCGGCAACTAAGGCATGTAATAGGCTAGAAGCAGCTACAACTCCCACACAGGAACCCTCAGAAGCACCTAGGCAGCATCTCCACAACCACCGACACTGGAATCACAAGTCCCTACACAGCAACCGGCAAAGGTCCTAAGTTAGGTACACGCAAATCAACGCACTGTACTAGAGTTATCGGCATACATGACAGAATAAGCTCCATACACAGACATAGATCAGAGACCGTAACCACGGCGAGACAGAGTCGGCCAGTGCGGGATAGTCGAGCCAGGCCCAAAACGCTCACGGTATATGTCGATAGCAGCGAAACGAACAGTGGTCAGATTGCCAGTAGGTAGTGCTAGCACCAAGGCCTGTCAGAATGCAGTATTGGCAGGGGCCGACGTCGCGACCACCGCGGCAAGCCCCCCAGCTTGCTTGGCCGCTAGTGGGGCCGACAACGCCCCACTTTGGAGGCTACCGCTGCTGCTGCATCCGCTGCCGCCACGTCGACATGACAAGCTATACTAGTGGTACAAGCCAATCCAGGCGGCAGTACAAGTACGAACGGCGATGTGGGCGGAAGAAAGCGGTGGTGTGCGATTGAGAGCGACTAGGGGCGGTCAGGTGCGGCTGGGAGTGGCCGGTGCCGTAAGGTGCGGCCGAGTGCGGTCGGGTGCGGCTAGGATTTGTTGGGTGCGGCAGGGAGCGGTCTAGTGCGGTGGAGTGCGGTTGGGAGCGGTTAGGAGCTGTCCGGTGCGGTCTAGTGCTGTGGAATGTGGCTAGTATGGTCTGGTGGGGTCTCGTACAATAGAATGCGGTTGGGAGGGGTCTATAGCACGAGCGGCTACAAGGTGCGAACGGGGTGCGAGTACGGGGTGCGGGGTACGGATTGCGGGTTACGGGGTGCGGGGTGCAAGCTACGGCGAGCAGGGGTGCTGGCAACGGTCTGACGCGCTGCTAGCGGATTGCTGGTTGCTTCTGGCGCGCGTTGGCGGCGGTTTGCACGTGCTCGCGCATGCTGGCGTTGGGCAGCACACTGCAGCCGCTACTGATCGTGGAGGCGTGCGGGAAGCGGGGCGACGGGGTGACGGAAAGCGTCACAAGGGAAAGCGGGCAGCGGGGCGACGGGAAGCGGGGCGACAGGAAGTAGGCTGCGGAGCGCGACAGGTCGACGTGATGCGGGGCGCGGCGGGTCGACAGGCTGCGGGGCGCGACAGTCGATGGGCTGCGCTGTGCGGCTGGTCGACGGGCTGTGGGGCACGGGGGGTCCTCAGGCTGCGGGACACGACGAACTACAGGTTGCGGGGCACGACAGATTGACGGGCTGCGGGGCACGACGGATGATGGGCTGCAGGGCATGTTGGGGGGTGGTCGACGGGCTATGGGGCACGACAGGCTACGGAGCGCGTCGGGACGACGAGAGGGCTCGCGGGGGGGCGCGCAACGGGAGGAACGAAGGGCCCGCGGGGGCGATCTAGGCAGTTTGTAGCCCTGAAACACCCGACGTTTTGCATAATTTAGCGTGGTCGCGATGCTGAGGTATGTGTTTCATGCAACAACTGTTTCTGTATTGTTTAACATGCTCATCTGAATTTTCTTGCAGGTCCTGGAATGCTTTCACGACGATATGTTATGCTGGTAAGGTAACGTGTTTTGTGTTGAGGTGTGTAAGGAATTTTCCTAATTCCTTACTGAGGCACTCCGTACGCGTACAATTCCAACTTTTCGGAGTTCAGGCTCGGTCCGACGACCTCGCCTTCCAAACGTCCCTCGCGTCGCCTTCGGGTTTCCCAACCCCAAACCTGCACCTAACCATCTCGAGACTCCGCGACCTCGGCCTAGCTAGCATTGCTATATTATGCCTAGGCCTCATTGTTTTCTCAGTAGTTGTAATCACTTTCGCGATATTGCATTCTGCGCACTCTTCTTTCGTACAACTCATAACACTTGGTATCAAAGCTACTTTCAGAGGTTACCCACCAGTTTCCGGGGTAGTTTAGTGCAGGGGTGCGATAGACTTGGTGGGCTGCAAAGCGGTCGGCTGAGAGATATATACGATTATCTCGCTCCGACTAATAGCGTTTGCGCCTTCATCAAAGTCAGAAAAATCGCTGTTAACCCGCTGCCCGTTTGGAGGAGCCTGAGAAACATGAATCAGGCCGAGTTTGACCGTTTCATGCAAGACTTTCGGGCGATGCAATCCAGCATGCAGACTATGTCTGGCGAGTTGGAGTGCCTGAGGGTGGAAAACGCCGAACTACGCTAGGCGCGAAGTGAAGCGCGCCAGGAGTTGCCCGCCGTGGATGAAGCAAGTAGCAGCTCGTCACTCAACGAGAATGTGTTTATCGAGCTGGATGGCTCGTTTGATGCTGAAGATGAGTGGGCGGCACGACAGCAACAGGCACGAGAAGCAACAACAGGAACGAGCAACGCCGAGGCAACAGTTGCAAACTCTGCCACGACAGGCACCAGCGATAGCTCCGGCTATGGCTTCGGTGGCGGCCCCAGTGCATGCAACAGCAACAGTCTCAACTGTTAGAATTGACTAAGCTACTAGCGGAAGCTTTAGTAGTCTTAGAACCTCCTCCTAAAGCCTATGAATCTTAGGAGCCCTCTTGGGCATGAAACATGCTAGAACCAAAGTGTTTTCCAAGAAGTTGAGTTCCAACCAGAGAGAACCCTAACCTATAGGGTTTGGGAGGTGGTCCACTCTTAGTGTACACCACAAGTTCTCCCAACCCAACCAATGTATTCTACACTACTATAGTGTAGATGTACCACTACATATGTTTATTCTAACACCCCCCCTTGCTCCAATAAGCATCAAAGTGCACCCATAAGTCAAAACACAACCCCTCCAGCGAATGAAGCCTTGGCCTTCGCAGCCATCACTCGCATGCCGATGCGCTCAAGGTTCTCATGCAACTGCAAGCTTGGGAGAGCTTTGGTGAGCATGTCGGCATCCTGGAGGTGGGAGCGTACTGAGTGCACCTCGACCTCCTGCTGGCGCACCGCATCCCGTACAAAGTGCCATGCCACCTTAATGTGCTTGGTGCGCTGATGGGGAACGGGATTGTGGGCAAGGGAGACAGCAGCCTCATTATCACAGAACAATGGAATAGCCCCCCCATCCCCCACATGCATCTCTGCCAACAAACTCCTCAACCAAATGGCCTCCTTGGACCCCTCCGATAGAGCTTTATACTCAGCTTCAGAAACGCTTGCTGCAACACTGTCTTGCTCTTTGCTATACCAGCTGATAGCTCCTCCTCCCAACTTAAAGATGTAGGCAGAGCGACTCTTGCCATCAGTCTCACCACCCCAATCCGAGTCGGTGTACCCAACAACCTGCTCACCACCTTGGCGTTCATACCTGATGACACGATCAGCTGTGTCGACCAAGTACCTGAGTGCTCTCAGTGCAGCGTGCATGTGAATGCGTCTTGGTGCCACGCAGGACTGTGCAAGGGTGTTGACAGTGAAGGTCATGTCAGGACGGGTAGTCACAGCAGCATACATCAAGCTGCCAATGAGACTCTGGTACACCTTGACATCAGCTGCAGCACCTTCCTCAGTCGACCAGGTACCATTCCTGATCTTAGAGAGATCATTAGGTGACATTGGAGTATGCACCCTATGGGTCTCCTTCAGCATATCACCAAACCTTCCGTGGAGACCGCAGACATACTTCTCCTGACCAGTCTCCAACCACCCATCCTTGACCGACCTGCGAACCTCCACACCAAGGTAAGTGGATACCTCACCTAGATCCTTTGTCTGGTACCTCTGAGCAAGCACCTTCTTGACCTGAACGATCAGCTCCAAGCGTGGAGACACAAGCAAGAGGTCATCCACATACACCAATACATACACTGGCTCTTCATCCACAAACCTGATGTACAGAGCCTCATCGCATGCACTGCGGTCGAACCCTGCTGCAATCAGGGTGGTACCAATCTCCTCATTCCAAGCACGGGACGCTTGCTTGAGCCCATAGAGAGCTTTGCGCAAGCGATACACCCTACCTGTACCATCATCAAATCCCTCAGGTTGCCTCACATACACCTCCTCTTGAAGGACTGCATTGAGGTAAGCATGATCAACATCCTCCTGTTGTACATGCCACCCTTTTACCGCAGCTTCTGCAAGAAGCACCCGACCTGAGGTGAGCTTGCCCACAGGGGCAAATACCTGATCATAGTCCTTCTCGGGCTCCTGAGTGTACCCCTTAGCAACAAGGCGAACCTTGTGCTGTACCACCTTATCCTCCTTGTCCGTTTTCCTGCGAAAAACATACATGACCCCAACGGCCTTCTTACCTGGAGGTAAGTCGACCGGCTCTGGATCCCATACACCCATAGTGCGCATTGCATTCACCTCCTTCTCAGCACCTGCCTTCCACGCAGGGCCCTCAGGGCCACGCAGTGCCTCAGCGAGTGTGCGTGGGACATCACCGGTGCTCACACCTGCTAGTGCAACACCCTCCACCTCCCTAGCCAAACACAGCATGCCCTCAACCACACCAGTATCCCCCCCTACCTCCTCACCACCTGTACTAGACTGGATACCAAGCACCTGCAAACCCGTAACCGGTGGTGGGGAGGTAGTCGCTGGTGACGTAGGTGCACCCGTAGAGAAAGGGACAGAGCGCTGACCAGAGGAGGAGGAAGAGGAAGTAGCATGCGTAGCGGATCGCCGTTGAATGACCGAGGGGCCACGGAGCTGCTGTAGAGGGGTGGGCTGCTGCTGCACCGACACACTCAGCGGCGCCGGTGGCGGTGATGAAGGTGGCATCTCAGCGTCGTCAACCGCTGCTGAGGGTGGCGAGAGTGGAAGAGGGAGGAGCTGTGAAATCTCAGCTGCATCCTGCAGAAGCTCCCCAAATCCCTTTGCCTTGTCCCAATCCTTCCACATCACATTCTCAAGAAAGTCAACATCCCGAGCAATGCGAATGCGCATGAGAGAAGGGTCCAGCATGCGCCAACCCTTGCTCTCCATGTCCACCCCAACACAGACACACATGACAGCCCGTGCATCAAGCTTGCCACCCTTCTCATGCCCATGCAGCATGACACTCCCCATGCAACCCCAAATCCGAGCCATGCCCACATGCGGCTTCTGGCCGAACCACGCCTCCATTGGTGTGATGGTGGCAGGCAAAGCACTGTGGGTGACCCTGTTCTTAACCCACACGACCCACATCAATGCTTCACCCCACAATCGAGTAGGGAGACCACTGTCGACCAACAATGTGCGAATCCCCTCTGCCATCGTCCTGTGCCACCTCTCCACGACCCCATTCTGCTGCGGTGCATCTGCGACGCTCAATTGTGTTTTTATGCCAAACTCCGCCTTCCATGCTTTCACAGCGTCCCCCAAGAACTCGCCACCCCTGTCTGAGCGAACAGCCTTCAGCTTCCGCCCACACTCCAACTCCACGTCCTTATGCCACTGTCGAAGAACTTTTGCAACTGTGGCTGATTCCTTGTTGGGGAGTGGGAACAACCAAACTCGTCTGGTGAAGTCGTCAATGAGGCTGAGGACATACACCGCTCCTCCTAGTGACGGTGTACGCACTGGCCCCCACAAGTCCATATGGACCTCATCCAAAGGCCCAAGTGCCCGAGACGCCTCATGGGGAAATGGCTTTCGAGCCGACTTTCCCAATAAGCAAGGCTCACATGGAGAGCAATCAGTGCTCCCCCCCCCAATCTCCAAGCCCAGTACACTATTCCCCCAAGCCATATGTTGCAGTGTTGTGGGGGCGGTATGACCAGGGCGGCGGTGAGCAAGGGTCAATGGGGAAAATGAGGAGGAGGATCTAGCAGCAAGAGCACTGCCCTGTGTGCCCCGAGCAAGAGGAAGAGACATCCGCACCAAACCATGGTCCCTTCCCCCATCCTTTTCTCCAATCGCCAACACCCTATCTCCCCGTTTGATAACACATCTCTTGCCCTGGAATGTGACGATGACATCCCGAGAGGTGAGGTGTGGGACTGACAGCAGACGTGTGTGCATCTCAGGCACAAGGTGGACCTTTTGAGTCCTCAGCAGCTGACCTCCAGCACCAACCACTGGCACCTCAACCATGCCAACAGCTTTCACCACTCGTCCATCTCCCAATCTAACTCCCCAAATCTCAGGTGGCTCAAGCTTACTCTTGAAGTCGGATGCATAAGGAGTAAAGTTGTGGCTGGCTCCACTGTCAATCCACCACCCCTCTCGCGGCTGCTCCCCTCCTACTGCTGCAACTGCCTCTCCAACCGCTACCTCTGCCTTGTCATCCTGTTCTTCCTCATCCGCCACGTGTGCCTTGCCGTTGGACCCACAACCCCCCCGCTGTAAGAATGCCGGAATGCCTCCCTTAGGTCGGTGAGGACATCGCTTCCATGCATGTCCCTCATCCCAACAGCCATGACACAACCCCCAAGGAGCCATGCCCTTGGACCCCCAAGGGAAATCAAGCACTCCTGCTTTGCCTTTCCCCTGACCCCATCTGCCCAAGTTGGTGCCGCTGCTGTTACCGCTGCCACCATGCTTTCCTCCCTTGTCCCAATTTCCCCTGCCGATGCTGCCCACTTTCGTACCCGCTCCAAAAGTGGCTACACCATCCGATCTTGGTGCGACACCAATCCGCATCTCCTCGCTCCTCAAAGAGGTAAGCAGCTGATCCTTAGTAAGCGATGATGATTGGTTGTTCAGCACTACCTTCAGCATCTCAAAGTGAGGAGGTAGTCCTTTGAGTACCCTCATCATCCACTCCTCAACCTCCTCCTTCCCTCCTGCAACCAAGTACTTGGACCTCAAGTCCTCGGCACGCGCCCAGTATGCAGCCACTCCCTCCCCTTCTTTCATCTTCAAGGAAGAGAGCTCCTCAGAGAGTGCCATCCGGTTACACAATCCACGCTGAAGGAAGAACTCCTTCACTCGTGTGTATGCCGCTGCTGTGCCTGCAGGAGCTCGGGTGACCACTCTTGCTCCGCCATCAACAGGTGCGCTGCCCAACTCGGTCTTGCCGCCGAACTCCCGTACCAAGCGAATCAGCTCATCTGGCACCAAGGCATTGCAAAATTGGGTGAATGCCTTCTGATTTCTCCTCTCCCACTTTAGCCGTGCGTCACCCGATGCAGGCCGCTCCTCCGAACCATCAAAGTACCCCCATGGATCGTGTGCCTCTGCCCATTGCTCGAATCGGAAACTCCAAGTCCAATAGTTGCTCCCGTCGAACTTTGGCGCACTCTCCAGCTTCCCTTCGCCTGAGTCATGATCCATTTGCGGCAGAAGCACTGAAGATTGACGTTGAGGTGGTGGTGGAGGCAACGGCGGTGACGGTGAAGATGATGCGGGCAGATTCACACCCTCTTGGTTATTAGAGCGTAACTCCGCGCTCGAACGTCCGAATGATAAGCCGTTTGGCTCAGATGAATTCTTGCTCCGAGACCGTTCCGATGATGTATCGCGCTCTTGGATCCCGCATCCGAGCTGGCCGCTTAAACTCATCGAAATTGGCCGATTTTCCGTCGACGAAGACTCGGCCGTTTCTCCCAATTTTTGGCTTGTTGGATGCGCCCTGACCTCCTCTGCCGGCGTCTGCCCTCCAATCGTTTTTCCGCGCTTTAAATCTTCCCCGATTCGCGATTTTCTAATTCGTCCGCCGACTGTATTTCGCGAATTGCGTCCGATCCGCTCGTCAAATTGCAACGACTTCGAGGCAACTGTTGTAGATCGTATTGAGGGCTTTCCAACGATGTGCTGCACGCCTTGATCCGCCAACGTTGACCGAGCCTCTCCGTGAGAGGATGTCGCTCCTCTCGTCCTCCCAAACAGATCCACTCGATTTCCAGCAGGTTTCTTCTCTCCTCCTCCCCTCCCACGTCCAGAGTCCGCCACGGTGCAATTTCGGCAGCCCTTCAGGAGGGATGGAAGCTATTTAGCTTCCACCAAGGTATTATGATCCAATTTCTTGAGTAGCTCCTATTCCAACAGATTGCTAGGCCTTCCTAGCTCTGATACCATGTTAGAATGGACTAAGCTACTAGCGGAAGCTTTAGTAGTCTTAGAACCTCCTCCGAAAGCCTAGGAATCTTAGGAGCCCTCTTGGGCATGAACCATGCTAGAACCAAAGTGGTTTCCAAGAAGTTGAGTTCCAACAAGAGAGAACCCTAACCTATAGGGTTTGGGAGGTGGTCCACTCTTTAGAGTGTACACCACAAGTTCTCCCAACCCAACCGATGTATTCTACACTACTATAGTGTAGATGTACCACTACATATGTTTATTGGAGCAACCCGAATTAACCTTAATTCCAACATCAACAACTGTCAAGATAAAACCGACGAACCCGCCCCCGTTCAACCCCAGCGAGAAAAACGTCACTGTGTCTGCGTGGTTGTTCGGCGTGGAGGTTTTCTTTAATGCTGCGCAAATTGCTGATGATGTCACTTGCATTAATTTTGCAGTGTCACTGTTACGCGGAGCTGCGTGGTGGAAGCAGACACTTCAAACAGAGGGGACTTTGGCAAGGATATCACGTGCGAACGACGAGACTTGGACATCTGTCACGCAACAAGCAACTACAATCTTCGGAGTGGCTACGATACGCACATGGACGGAGTGGGGCGCCGCGCTGCGAGCCAGATTCGAGCACGTATCCGACTCGTATTCTGCCCGCATGAAGCTGCGTGTCTGGAAGCAGGTGATATCGGTCCAAGACTGCACAACAACATTCTGCACTTTGGCCGACCAAGTGGACGACATGAGTGACGCGGAGCGGCTCGACAAATACGTCGCAGGCCTCAAATACGAGGTGCAGTACGAGGTGCGACGAACGAGGCCACGCGACTTCATCGATGCCGTCCAGCTGGCCGAATCAACGGACGCGCTGATGCAGTGGGCGAGAATGAGTTTTTGGGAGGGCACTCAATTTCGTGGACCGCCTCGCCAGCCCACAATCAACAGTGTGGATGCGCCGAGACATGCACCAAACACGTGCTTCAACTGCAACTAACCGAGCCACTGGAGGAAAGACTGCCCGAAGCTGAAATAGGGGAACAGGAATGACAGAGAGGGGTCGGGAAAAGAGACGAGTCAGTAGCAGTCGGGCCACCTCCTGACGAGACCCCGTCGCCCGGCAATCACCATACACACCGAGTAGTGGTACCGATACAGGCTATCGACCGCAACCGGACGAATAAAGTGGATGAACATGTGGATCACCCTATGCTGGTCGTGGGGAGGGTTAACAGTTATATATTAAAACTAGTCGTTGACGGTGGGGCGAGCCACAGTCTCGTCAACCTGGCAACGGCCAAACAAATAGGAGTTAAGCTGGACAGGTGTCTGCGCGAGATTGACGCACGACTGGTGGACGGGACACCGCTGGCGATCAAGGACGAGGTGCGACAAACTCGGGTGAAGTGTGGCGACAATTTCGGGTTCTCAATGAAGAAGCTGGCAACAACACTGGACGGTTGCGATGTATTGCTGGGACGAGATTGGCTACAGCGATACGATCTGATGATCGACTGGAGGACGGGAGCAATCACGGTGCTGAGCAACAAGGGGCGCGTGACACTTCCAAAATGGACGGAGCCGAACGATGACACGTGTCAACGTGATAACGCTGACAAGAGCGATAAAACGGAGAGCGCAAGGCTACGCCGTACAGCTGTACAATGTGGTTGCATCCGAATTGACACGCTCTGCACTGCTATACCTGACGACGTGGCAAGCATGATTCGGAGGTATCCCGAAATTTTCGCAGATGACCTGCCTGATGGGCTGCCACCTTAACGACCAGAGGACCACAGGATCGAGCTAGAGCCAGGTGTGCAACCAACTGTTTGGTCACAGTGGCGGCTCAGCCAACCGGAGCTCGACGAGTTGCGAAAACAGCTGGATTATCTGCTTTCGAAGTGTTTTATCTGGCGAAGCACGTCACCATACGCCGCCCCGATACTGTTCACGCCTAAGATGGACGGAGGCCTGTGCATGTGCATCGACTATCGAGCGCTGAATCTGATTACCATCAAGTCACGTTACCCGATTCTGCGAGCGGACGACCTGCTGGATCAGCTTCGCGGGGCTCGCTTTTTCTCGAAAATCGACTTGCGAGATGGCTACCATCAAATTTGCGTGTTCACCGACGACTGCCCGAAGACTGTGTTTCGCACCCGCTACGGCAGTTACGAGTATACAGTGATGTTAGAATCTAGCAGCAGGAATGATTGAACTATGAAAGAATGAGGTACAAATATGAAACCCTAATGTGGGCTGTACCCCATATTGGCTACCCCACTACAGCCTAAGCATATGTAACATATATATCATTTGACACACCCCCATAGGCAAAGTGGGGGAGAGCAAGGGGTCACAAGACCAGTCAAGAGAAGCAAAGCAAGCTCAGGGTGGATCACAACGTCACCACACACACTGAGCACAAGCAAAGGGCCACAAGGCCAGTTCACATGCAGAGGTATATATGCAACACAAACAGCACAGTGATCTCTACCTAGCAGAGCAAGCAAGCAGGTGTATATATAGATCGCAGTACAAACAAAGTCTACAGCAAGTGAGGAAAAGTGGGCACAAGGCCTAACAAAGTGCAGAAACGCTGATGATCACCAGACGGAAGTGCCTTGGTGAATATATCAGCTGTGTTGGCCCGAGTGGCCACGTGAGCAAGACGAAGCTGACCACGCTGCTGCAACTCTCGAGCCAGGAAGTAACGCAGAGCGATGTGCTTCGTTCTGTGCTCCAGTCTGTGCTCCTGACACAAGGCAATGGCGGCCTTGTTGTCGACGTACAGCACTGGAGGTGAACGAGGCCGCTCTCCCAAGTCGGTCAGCAGGTAGGTGAGCCAGCGTAACTCCTGTACAGCCATGGCTGTCGCGTAGATCTCAGCCTCACAACTGGAGCTGAGAACCGAAGACGAGCGTGTAGAACGCCAAGAAACTGAACCAGAGCAAAGGCTGAAGGTGTAACCCTGTGACGACCGCTGCGTAGCCTGGTCGTCAACCCAAGAAGCGTCTGAGTGCCCAGTGAGGACAACTGCGCTCCGCCCTCCAAGCACGAGCCCCATGCCCGATGTACCGCACAAGTAGCGCAACACCCTCTTCACAGCATCCATGTGCACCTTTTAGTGCCGACCAGGAGCCACGTAGCGAGCCAGAAGGCCAAAAGGGTACGCAAGGTCAGGTCGAGTGCAGGTTATCAGGTACATGAGGCAGCCCACTAGCTCTGGATATGGGCCACTCGGTTCTACGGACTCGTCCAAAGGTGGAGCTGAGAGCGAGTGGCCTGTAGCCAGAGGAGTGTGCTGTGGCGAGGACCAGGTGAAGCCGAAGCGCTGAAGGACCTGCTGCACCATGTGTGACTGAGTCAGTGTGATAGTGCGGCATGCTCTGTCCCGGGTGATCTGCAAGCCAAGGTAGCTGCGCTGTTCACCCAGGTCTGTGCACGTGTGTCTCTTCTGCAGCTCCGACTTCACCCGGGCGAGAGCCTCAGTGTCAGCAGTGGCAAAGACCAAGTCGTCGACGTACACGAGGATGTAGAACGGCGGCATCGAAGTGTCGGTGCGCAGAAACAGCGACGGGTCAGCAGTCGACGGAGCAAACCCAAGAGCCGCAAGTGTAGTCCTCAGTGTGTCGTGCCACTCACGCGGCGCCTGGCGGAGACCGTAGACTGGCCGCCGGAGGCTCCACTGGGTACCAGGAGGGAACGACCCAGTGAAGCCAAGAGGGCGACGCAGCCAGATCTCCTCGTGCAGGCTGCCCTGTAAGAAAGCTGTGCTGATGTCAAGAGAGTGAAGCTCGTAGTCACGCTGAGCGGCAACGTGCAGTAGCACCCGAAAGTGGTCATCTTCGGGGTGGGGGAGAAGATCTGAAAGAAGTCTACTCCCTCTCGCTGACTGAAACCTCGAGCAACGTAACGAGCCTTAAAGACATGCGGAGAACCTGGCAGCCGCTTCACCCTGAAAATCCACATGCCACTGACGATGTTCACCCCAGGAGGCGGAACCTCGTCGACGTAGGTGCCTGTGGACTTCCAGGATGCCATCTCTGCATCCATGGCTGTCTGCCACTGAGAGGAGTACTCACCCGTGATCGCCTCAGCGTAAGAGCGCGGGGTCGGGATGTCTGGAGAATCCGGGTCTCCCTCAGGGGCAAGCAGCATGGACACGAGATGAGGCACAGCGGCTGCAAGACACTCAAGGTCCTCGTGCCTGTCCTCAAGGACGTCCGTGCTAAGAGCACACTCACCCCCGACGGACG